AAAAAAAAAAAAAAAAATATCGAAATTTTTTTACTTGAAATTCAAAAAACACTCTCTCTCGTGGAAAATAGAACGCGAATGCACCAGTGACCTAGAGTGCCCCAATGAAAAAGCCTGCATAAACCTGCAATGCGTGGATCCGTGCGGTCTTCGCGGTGCCTGCGGGATGAACGCGCTGTGCCGTGTGGTTCTGCACAAGCCCCGTTGCTCCTGTCCACAGTGCTATATCGGCATGCCTCACACGGCCTGTCATCCAGATCCTAAATGTGAAACAATGAATCCAAAACCTACACCGAACATCGGTTGCTCCTCTGAACGCGATTGTCCAGAGAGTTTGGCGTGTCACACGCTTACAGGCGAGTGTCGCGATCCATGCCTCGGTTCTCAGTACACGTGCGAGGTGAACAAGAGATGCCAGGTGCGGAACCACAGGCCTATGTGCGTGTGCAAGTACGGGTTCGTGGTGAATGAGATTGGTGAATTGACCTGTGCACCCGACACACTGACGTGCACCAGAGATTTCGATTGTCCGTCGAATGCTGCATGCGTGAACGGGAAATGCCAGAACCCGTGCAACGTACGTAAGAAACGGCCATGCCCCACGGACAAAACCTGCGACGTCCTGGACCACCGTCCTGTATGCATATGCACACAAAACTGCAATCCCTCCCTCTCCATTTGCCTGCGAGACAGTGGCTGCTCTCCAGACTTGGCGTGCCGCAACTATCGCTGCGTGGACCCATGCAGAAACTCCACCTGTCCGGCTGATGCCCCCTGTTACGTGGAGGAGCACAAGCCTATCTGCAAGTTCTGTCCCCCCGGCTTTGTGCCAGATACTAAATACGGATGCATGAAAGGTAAACACCATTTCTCACCACCTCTCTCTAAAGTCACTCGCTATCAAACTACATCTGCCTACATCTATTCTCTCACAACTTTGCTCACCTTCGAGTCTCTCACCCTTTTGTATCTGTCGTATTCTACCTATTCTTTACTGTCCCTTGACTTCTGTTTTTTTTTTGTTTTTTATGTATAATATATATTTGTATAAATAGGGTATATATTATATATATATATACACACATATATACATAGCTGACACTATTGTTCTATCTTCGGTTCGCGATCATCCTCTCTGTACCAGTCTTCTCACTTTACTATACTACGCCTCACACCAGGAACATACTACTTTTTCAG